AATGTTAAAATTGATTGAATATCATCAATGATAAAATGAAATCTGTCTATTAGATACCAAAGATAATAAGAAGAAAATGGTTGATATTGGTTGTGTGTTGATGCTAACTGAGTTAATTTCCTCTGTTTCTGGTCAACTGGTAGATTGTTTGATTTCATGTAATTATACATAAAACTGCCAATTGTTTTTTCATCTGTGATAATATCTAAGTTTCTTATTATCGGTAAAAAGTTTATGTAATCATTAATGTATTTTTCATCAATGTGACCCTTTACTTCAGCCACGAATAAAGTATTTTTCTTTCTAATAATTCCCAGTGCTTTTGCTTTCTTTGTTGCTGTATCACAAATGATAACACCATTCAATCTTCCCGGCATATACATTTTATGGTCAGTATATTGAATGAAATCATGAGGATTAGATGAAAATGATGAAGGATATAATGAATTAAAATCAACACCAACGAAATGAGTCATAATGTTGGTGGTGTCCTCATTTGATACAGTTTTAGTTTCTGGACTATATGAAAGTTTATTAATGTGTGTGATTCCTTTAAGATTAACACGATGTTGAACATTTGATAGACCACCAGTAATTCCATTACGGAGAATGTGATAAGCTTCAACTGAATCTAAAGTCATTGGTAAATTATTTTTTAATGCATAATTTCTTAAATTGATTCTTAAACGTTGAACATCTTCATCTTTATTTGATTTTACGACATTGCAATAACAACACATTAACTGACAATTTTCTTTGGTATGTGGTTTTTCATTATCGATTCTATCTAATGTTGGTTTATTTGCATATGTAAACGCTTTACCACACATTTTGCATTTAGATGAAAGGATTAAATCGTGATAGTATTGAAAATCATCCATTGAAACATTATTTTTAGTATCTCTTTCTGCTTTTTCATCTTGTTTCTTATATGATTCAATTTTATATTTCCAATACTTTTTCGTTAATTCAAAACTTGATTCCACATTTTCTTCTTCTGGATATTTTTCGTTAGGATTAAAGTCTTTATATGCTAAAGCGTAACGAATCATTGATGCATTCGATGATAAAGAAAGATTATGAAGCATGTCAATTTTATAAACAAATGTTTCTTCAATAATTTTATCAATTGGGTCAATCATAATTTCAACATCTTTATTGCAATAATGAATAAAATATTCTAATCTATTCTTAAAATTTTTAGCATCATTGAGATATATTTGATAATCACTATCTGATATAGTTTCTTGAGTTAATGCTGAATAAAATGAATCTTTCGTGAATGGTTCCTCTTTATATAATTCTTCTTCGTAATTTTCCCACATGATGAATTGATAAGGGAAAAAGGATTTAACACGTGATTTATTGTTTCCGAAATCTCGAGTGAATTGGTCTAATGTCCCACCCGCTATATAATTTCTGATGTCAATAAATCTCAATTCATATGGAATGTTTGTTTTCTTTACAATGATTTGCTTAAATTGTGAAGATGAACCCAGCATTGATTTTATTTTCCATTTTGCAGTGTTTAAATCACGAAGAATTAAATTTAAATCAAACTTTCCCGAATTAAAACCTATGATATTCACTTTATTGAATTCCTCATCTAGAAGTTCTTTAAATACTTCCTTCTGTTTTTCATTTAATGTTTGTGACTTCATTAATTCTTCATATTGTTCAATATTTGATTTAGCAACTAATGAACAGGTTGAAAATAAAAACTCAATCCAATCAGAAATAAAAGAATCACTTGATGTTAAGCAAAAATTCCTCGTAAATGTTTTATCACGGTCTACGACCTCGCCGCTTTGCGGCTTTATTTTGACAGTTGATGATACCATAAATGGTTTTAAGTAAGCATTCAAAGTTGCACATTCAGAAAGTTGAAGTTCTTCTTTAGTCTCTAATGTTTCAAAGTCAAAAGTAATATAATATCTTGTTGGTTTATAATATTCCTGCAAATTATGTGCTAATAGCCATTGATATATCTTCTGTTTCGTGATATGTGGTGCATATGGTTGTTGTGTGTTTTGCAATTGAACGTCTTGAATTAATCTTCCATTATTTTCTTTACATTTCTCACAATGCTTTAAAAATCTTCTTTGGTTTTTCCTTTCTGGATCATCACGGATAGAATATACTTCTTCTTTGCAAAAGGGGCAAACTTTATATCCTGTGAGTGCTTCAATGTCTGTTATTCTATCAGCGTGAAGTTTTCCACATGGACTCTGTGTTAATAAAATATTTACTGTTTCAAATTCTGGATCTATCATTATTGAATCCACTAATGGAAAGTCTACCTTGTTAATGTCTACGTCTTCTGGTTGAGGGTCACAATAATAAAAATCAATATTAACGTTTAACATTCTTGCTAACCTCTCACTTTCTGATGAAATGTCAAACCCTTCATATGCATCTATTGCTTCGTTTAAATAACTTCTACGAGTTTTAGGATTAACACCATCAGGAATGTTATAGAAGCGTTTAAATAACCTTCTACCTTCGGCTCTTATTTGATTATCATTCATTTTAGCTGTTCCATTTTTGTTCATTTATGTAAGAATAAAAATTAAAAAAATAAATAAAAATAAAGTTTATTTTTTTTAAAGTCCGAGACTCAGAGAGTCCAGGGCTAAAGTCCATAAAATGAATTAAGAACACATAAATTTTTATCATCTGCGACGTGACGAATACATTTTAATTTACTCAAGAATGCGTACCCTGATACATTAAATCTAATTCCTGTCTTATTTAATTTCACAACTTTGAAAAGGAATGTATGAATAGCTATAAAATGATGAGATGATGTTTTATGGGTTGCTTCCATTTTTTCTGAAATAAATGAATAAATATAATGCTTATAAGTTTTCATATCTTTTATGTTCTTAATAACGAATGGTATAGACTTTTCCACTTCATCTTCCTTCGGTGCTGTTCTTTCATATGAAACATTATTGGTATCTTCAATAATGAAACCACAATCGCATAAAATTTTATATGTACCAATTGTTTCTTTTGATATTTTATCTAATAAATCAAAAACTTTATCAACACCCGTGCATTTATTTAAATAATAATTTGTGTAAATATCATGGTCTTCTTTCTTAATCGTATTTGTTGCATATGTTACATTTTTCAATGCTTTTTTGAATTTTTCAGAATCAAGAGGAGGTGAAAGTAATATACAGGGGTATTCTTCATCGTCAATAAACTGAAGCTTATGTTTATGAATAAATTTTGTGCCTTCTTCTGAAAGTGTTTCGTCAATATCACCATCTAATAAATTTTTAGTAGATTCCAAAAAGTAATTTTTATATCTTTCTTCATGAGATTTCTGAACTTCTGATTCTGAAGCTGGGATATTCATTAAACCCTCTACTTCATTCTCATTATATTTTTCAACTTCTCTTAATTCCTTAATTTTTTCATCTATTTCATCTCTTATTTTTTCCAGTCTTTCAATTTCATCATATTCATCATCTTTAATCCGTTCTTCATAATATTCAGGGAAAACATCAGGTTCTTTAGGTTTTTCTTCTTCAGATGTAGGATATAAAAAATTTATAACATCATCTTTATTCATTTTTCCATCATAATCTAAATCATTTAATAACTCGGCAAATTTTTGACAATTTCTTAAATAATATTTATTAACTTCATAACCCGCCTCCTCTAATATATCCTTTATTTCCTCATTTGTGAATCCCATTTTTTTAACATTGTTAGTTGTGACGCTCATTTATCATTAAATAAAAAAATAAATTATTCAAAAAATGTAAGACATAAATTTTCAAAGTTTATTTTTTTATTCATGAAAATAATTATTTCTAATTTCTTTTACTCTCTCGTATATACTAGATTTGAAGAATTCAGAACTTTTACCATAATCTCCTAAATGTTTTCTTATCCCTAACGTGTGCCAGTTATTATATGAAACTGAATAAACTTTATCTTTATCTTTACACCTTTCATCACTTCCAATATATTTATATTTCAATTTTGATTTAGCATTTTCATATTCATTAACGTTTAATAATTCACAGTCTTCCTTTTTAAATAAATGTTTTATGTATTCAGGATTTAATACTCTACGTTTATATGCTCCTAACTTAGTTCTAAAGGTTTTTCTACAAAATTTAGGAATTCCATCCTCTTTAATGTCATCAATGATTTCCATTTCATTATTTTCAATTTCTTCTTCTCGTTTATGAGGTCTTTGATTATGACTCCATTGATTCCATGAAATTAAATATTCTTTATCATTATATTTATACCTCATTAGCTTATTTTGGCTTTCATATTCATTTAATAATTCACAATCTTCATTTTTAAATTGAAGTTTAACCCATTCAGGATTTAAACAATGTTTAATTAATCGCGGAATATCTGACATCATCTATATATAGCTTCTTTTATAAAAGATAAAAAAATAAATTATTTTAAAATTAATGTTAATTTTTTAATGATTTATAAATAAATGCATCGTCTATATATAGATGTAACAAAAAATGATACAAAACCCTTCCACATATACTTCGTACACAACACTTCCACATATACTTTTATGATTTATATTTTAATACATCGTCTATATATAGATGTAACAAAAAAAGTCACTAAACCCTTCCACATATACTACTTCTGATATATTACTCTCATTCGTGATGATTCGTTTATCGTGAGATGAAATATCTTGTTCCATACTTTCTAATGAAAGCTCTAAATTACAAACTGTTTTTATGAGCTTTGCATCACTTAAATTTATCATAGGTCCCAAATTCACTCCTCCTCTTCCTCCACCACTCACATCGGATTGTTTTTCTTGGCGTGTAATTGACTTAGTTTTATTAAATGGTATTTGCGCCCCTGATACTTGTCTGTGATTTATCATATGTTGATTTAACAGACCATTACTTTGTAAATTAATCGAATCCATTCGGCAAATAGTTTTGTCGTAGATATTGTTCACATATGGGTTCATTTCTAAAAAAATAAATTTTTTATTTGTTGAGCACATTTGCACAGTAATCAAAATTGATAGCATTTATTTCATCCATTTTTATGAATTCTCTTATACTATCCATTTCTTCTTCGCATATTGTGAATCCCATTGTTGGGAAGAAAAGAACCATCGAAGGTATTCTTTTTGGTTGGATTAATATGATTCCATTAATATTAGTACCGGATGGTAACTTATTAAAATCTATCAAATATCCTGTCGTACCGAGTTTGCATTCGTCAAATGATTTTGCAATAACCAGGTTGTCGACAGCTTTAAGTATGGGAAATTGTTGGATTTCTGATTTATATGCTGACTTCGTTTCATCTTCCGAAATGAGGGTATATTTTTTGTAATCTGACGGATATATGGGTTTAATGTCTTCCATTTTGAAAGGTGTAAATTTATGCCCTGGATACTTTAATGGTGTGCATAAATAATTCATCGGTTTTCTAACAACAATTCCAAAATAGGAAAATTGTTGATCCAATTGTCCGTGCGATGAATAATTATTCGGTATACTCACATTTATTCTTATTGGTATAAACTTTTTATATTCTTTAATTGTAGGGGATGATATTTTTATATTACATCCGTCTATTTGGGTTACATATATGCTCGATTCTGGTATTAGTTGTTTTAAGTCAGTAACATTAATGTAAAATATTTTAATAGGTGAAAATTTAATGGAGTAATAATCAATGTCAACGATATAGCATTCATCATCGGTTATTATATCATTTACTACGTACGATTTTATTGAGTAGGGGTAATTTTAGCTAAAAGTGACACACCCGTGAAGGGTGTGATTACCGATCGGTAATTTCGACAGTTTAGAATTTAAAATTTTTTATGGAACTGTTGCGAGTTTCATAAAGAATTTAAGGAATATAAGCAAAGATTTGAATCAAAATCTTAGACCTAAGCCGCTTGATTCGCTCGCGGCTTCCGCGAATTACAGATCAGCAAAGATTTGAATCAAAATCTTCGAACTAAGCCGATCGCTTCGCTCGCGGCTTTCTTTATTATTTTAAATTTGCATATTTCCATCAAAAGTTCATAAGGTAAAAAATTTCGTTTATTTTTACTAAGAAAAAAAAGGTTTTTGATAATAAATTTATTTTATTTCGAAAAAGTAGCAATAATCGTAAAAGGGTATTGATAGGCTTGCTAAAGTAACTAATTTTAGCTGTCAAATACTTTTGTATTTTGAAGTAAATTAGTATAAATTTGTTTTTACTTTTATTTCGAAAAAGTAGCAATAATCGTAAAAGGGTATTGATAGGCTTGCTAAAGTAACTAATTTTAGCTGTCAAATACTTTTGTATTTTGAAGTAAATTAGTATAAATTTGATATTATTTTAACTCCCTTTGAAAACCTCAATTTTCCATACAGAGGGAACGGGAATAGCATCCAATATTCCCTGAGAATGGTTGCGCATTCTCAGTTCCCTCTATATTTCGAACGAAGCTCTCATCGGTCTTTTTTTTAATACTAAACGTTTTTTTTCCCTGTCACTTTTAGCTAAAATTTGGGTTTGCCATTCTTTATCCGCTAATGATAGATAATAACTTAAACTATTTTATAAATTCATGGCGATTGGAGAGCTATAAGCACTTTTCATTTGGAAAAATAACCTTATCCGGAAATTCATGAACACAAAAGGTATTTAGACTTAAAATAGATAGAATTTCAAACTAATATAATATGTAATCTTATTATCAGCAACGGTATTTGTCGTATGAATCCCAACTCCCATATAGGGATATCTCGGTGAAATCGCAACTATTCAATCCAAAGTTTCTCAAACACATTCGCCGATAATAATACGTTTTAAAAAATTTTCAAAAATAATATTAAATCTAATGGCTATCATTTGGTCATATGAATAAAAAAAAAAAAAAAAAGGGAGTGGGGCTTCCAGGCACTTCGTGCCTTCTAGCCCTGAAGATGTTTAGTATAAATGAAGTTTTTATTGGGAAGGCTTCCAGGCACTTCGTGCCTTCTAGCCCATAAGAAATTTTGCACAAGACCCAAGAGGAGGACCGGAGCCCCAGCCGACCAGCCGTTGACACTTTTTCTGTCGCTTTTCACAAATTATATATGTTTTCATGTTTTGTCAAGACTTCTTCGTAATGAGTGTAAATGACCCAAAAATATAATTTAGGTGAAGAGGTGAGATCTCACCTGTTTTCTCACCTCTTTTCTCACCTCATGAATTTGTCATGATTTCATCGTAAATGCTTTGTCGAAACTTCTTCATCGTACATGTTTTGTCAAGACTTCTTCATCGTACATGTTTTGTTATGCTTTAAGTTACAGGCGTTCCAAGGAAGTATACTTTGAGAAGCCTTTTTCCCCTTATAGAATGAGATAGGACGGTTATTTTACAAAACTGACAACACTTTGACCGAGTAGTTTTTTGTGCTGAACAAAAAGTGTCATATAAACATCTGTCAAAAACCGCTTTTTAACTTCACTTAAAATGCCACGTAAGCTACGTAAGAATATACGTAAGAGGAAGAGAGCATTGAAACATCCAATAGTAAAACTGACACCACAACAACAGTTGCAACAACAAATGATGAATGACCCCACTATGTTGCAACAAATGTCAAGCAACCCTATGCTTTTAAACCGAGTTATTGGTGCACAGAGTGGAGGTTTACGAGCGGCACTTTTAGCGAAAATGGCAGGCTATGGTGGAGCTGCAGACGGAACAGCTTATAACCCTCAAAGTCAAATGAATTTGAGTTCACTCAAAAATCAATAACAGATGTCAAAAAGTCAAACATAGACATACAGAAACAAATAAGTGAAAACGAAAAGAAACTAGAATATGACAGACACACAAAGAAACTCAATGAGTTAAACGTAGAGAAAAAGAAGAAAGAAGAACAACTGAAAGAACTAAGTACAGAGGAATATGCGAAAAAAGTGTCAGAAAAAGCAGCAGAAGTAGCAAAAATGGAACAAGATGTTATAAATTTGAAAAACCATACTACTCAATATAAAGTACTGAAAGATGAAGAGATAAAACAAAAAGCCCTGAAGACATATATGGATAGCGATGAGTATAAAAAAGAAGTTGAAGCAAATGTAAAGGCAGAAAAACTTTTACAGTTGCAAAACCAAACCGTACAGTATGAAAACTTAGCACAAGAAAGTAAAAATAACGACGCAGCCATGCAAAAGGCAATGAAAAGCGCAGAATATATAAAAGCTAATAATGACTGGTTAGATGCCCAAGCCAACGCTAAAGCAGCCCAACTTATAGGGTCAATAAGGACAAAAATACAAGCGGATGAAGACAGTTCAAATGAAGCTTTAATGAATGCTGACTTTAAGAATGCCTTCGAAGCTCTTCATAGTAAGGTGAAACTAGTGAACGACTTCTCATCTGGAAAGAAACTGAAGTCTGAAGGTTTCGACAAAGAGTTAAGAGAAGTAGCACAAAATATGACGAAAATAACAGATGCAGCAACGAGACAGGCAGTTCAAAGTGCCTATGACGCCGTTAGAGCAACTGTTGTGGAAAGTCAAGAAAAAGAGTTACAAAAGACCAAAACAGACCTAGTAAATGCTTTCTTAAAAACGAAAAGTCAGGTAGGACATTATGCTGCAGATGGAACATATGTGCCAGCTGGTGGAACTTATATACCAGCTGGTGGAACTTATATACCAGCTGGTGGAACTTATATACTAGCTAGTGGAACTTATATACCAGCTGGTGGAACTTTTATACCACCAAACCCTTCAAGAGAAGCACCTGCAGCAGGACTACCTAAAACATTTACATCGTCACATGGACACAGACGCAGGCATGCACCACAACAACAACAACCAACAATTCAAAATCCAGCACCACAACAACAACCAACAATTCAAAATCCAGCACCACAACAACAACCTCCACAACCAGCACAACAACCACCTCCACAACCAGCACAACAACCAGCACAAACAGAGCAAGGACATAAAAGAAGTAGCGAACAAGGAAACCAAGAATTCTTAAAAATGCTTAAGGAAAATTATGGTTACCCAGATACTCTTGACTTTAGTGACAGATATAAAGAAGCTATTAGAAAGTTCAAGGAAGGAAATACTGACCCGAACCTATTTAGCTTTATGGTTCAGCACCAAATGGGATATAAGCTCAAACCTGGAAAATACAAGCTCGCTAAGGGATATGATTTAATAGCATATCATCCAAATGACATGACTGAATTTACTCCGAGATATTTTATGTCAGAGATAAATGATAATTCAACTATCTTCATGAAACGCGTAAAAAATAGAGACGGAACGAAAGAAGAAAGGGTTATGAATGCGGATGGCTTAAATAGGGAACTTGTTAAAAACGGTCTCGGAATATATGAAATGCCAGCAGATGAGGTACAAGAAACTCCACAGGAAGAAGTTCAGATACAACCAGACATGGAAGAAATAGTTCAGCAACAACAGCTAGAAGAGCCTGAAGGAAACGAACAAGTCCCTCCTTTGGAAACTAACTTCACAGAACTAGATGAAGATTTGGAACAGCCGAAAAATCTTGACCCTCAACAAGTGTATGCGGAGAATATGGAATCTTTCCAAGAGTCTAAGAAAAATTCGGCTGACATAGTAGAAGAATATCGAAAAATGTTCGCCGACATACAAAAGACTCCAACATCAGATGAAAATATCCAGCATAGAATGGAAGTACTGAAAGATAATGTACACAAATACAACAATCCTTTTTACTTACGACCATATAACGTTCAATCTTCGGATGAACTCGGTGAAAATAAAAGGTTAAATTTCAACAAAACATATAGAAATGAAACATTGTTTAAAGTTCATTCAGAACCTAACCAATATGGAAACAAACCTACTTTTGTATCTGCAGACTATGGAACTACAATGAGATGGGGTCATAAAGCTAATCCGGATAGGTGGTTCATAAACTTACAACCTCAATTCCAAGAAGTTGTAGACGCAATGGAAGAGAATGGTGAACCAGATATAGCTGGTATTTTCAGCGCGGCTTTAATGCCATTGAAAGATATGAAACATGCAGATATTTTGGACCAGTATGAAATGAACATGGCTGATGGAAATATAACACCTGACGTTCTAGAACATTTATCTCAAAGAACTACACAGAACCATAGAGATGGTATATTTGGTGAAGAGTTTAGAAAGAAAGTTAGGGAGAAAGAAGGAAGAGAACCTATTGTACATGACCTTGCAAACGAAAGTTTGCAAAATGTCATAAAAACTTACTTTGCAGACAATGAATCGAGAAGGGATGAATATTTAAGAAAACTCAAATGGACAGTACCAAATGAAATGTTAGTATTGAAAAACATGTTCCTTGACAAAATAAAACCAACTACAGAAATAAA